TTTCAGCTGTTTGAGCAGAAGTTCGTCAGTCTTCATGTTACTTGTTGGATGTCCCTCCTGGTCTTACACATTTCGCTTTCATCCTCATTTCGTGATTGACAAAAATTTTGATCTCGCGAGGCTAACCATAAAAAATAGCTTTCATTAGCCAGTGCCCTGTGATTCTTGCTCCTTTGGGGCTCATCTTAGGAGATGCATTGATGGAGAACGTAACTCTCTTTGATTTACTCCCTTGAACTGCTCTTGTGATTCTTTCGGAAGCATGAAGTTTGAAGTTTTGGGCAACATGAAAAAAATATTGAATTTTTTTCAGAAATTCAATGATTTTTTGAAAACAATTCAATTCAAATTTCAGTGAAGATCTCAATATTCAAATGTTCTGTTCATATTTCATGGAAGTTCATTGTCCATTTGAAAACAATGAACTTACGAACTTACGAACACAACATTTGAATATTGAATTCTTTACTGAACATTTGAATTGAATTTTTTTCAAAAAATCATTGAATTTTTGAAAAAAATTCAATGATTTTTTGAAAAGAATTCAATTCAAATGCCAGTGAAGAATTCAATATTCAAATGTTTTGTTCTATGTCATGGAAGTTCATTGTCTTTAAAAGGTTTTAGTTCACTGTCTTTGAAGTAAAATGAGTGAAATAAATATTTCACTTAACATTTAGTCAGCACATTCGGCACTTCCATTACCTAAGAGGGGGTCGCAACTGGACCCCCTTGAGATAAGGGGGTGACCCCCTTGAGAAAAGGGGGTCGCAAAAACCCTGAAAATGTTCGAACGTGACGGTTGACCCTGCTTAGCACGATTGTATAGTCGTCGCGCCCTGAATGCACTGTATATTTTTTGCTCGGGATTCCTCTGTGTACCCTTTCTTCATTCATTGAAGCTCTCGTGGTGCTCTCTTTGAATTAGCCGCTACTTGATTATCCCGCTTCATTTTTTGGAAGCCCGAAGAGAGCATACAGCTCACCTTATACGGTTTGGTGATATTTGTCAAATATCAAAGTGTGGGTACTTAACTATCCCTCAAGCAGTACTGTCCTTTACATTTCCTGTTGAGACGACCTTAGCTGATTTTTATAGTATTTAATTTTGGATCGAGGAGGCGCCGTCAGTTTTTTTCAAAGAGAGATAATTTCTCTACGACTTGCATAGGAATGGGGGCGAAATTATGTACATAGAAATGGCTATTCTGCTGTAAGAGCTGCGTATAACCCTTCGTCGATTTTTGTTGCCGAACAAATTTTGCAGCGAGTTCCAGTTCGTCGTCTAGTGTAAGCATTAAACTACTGTACAGGAATCTGTAGGGTGGCAGTTAGTAGGGTTGAAGGCGGCACGAACCGCCATAGGAATTCCTTCAGGCGGGTTGGTGATGAGGGTGTCGAAACGCGCCGTGCTATGTAGGTTTAGAAATTTTTACTGCTACAGCGGACGATTGACCCTGGTTACTGGGCATGTGTGGGCATGAATGAAATGAAATTAGAGAATGTTATCGTGCAAGTTGCGAGTAATTTCTACAGAGGTTTCGGAAAACATGCAGTCTTTTGCGGTAGGTTAACTTTGAAGGGAGTAGGTCCGACAGCTTCGGACCAGCTAATGGCTACACAGTGCATCGAGCTCTATTATTGGACTTCCTCACTTAAAACCTTCAACCTAGAGATAATTACGACAATTTCTTGTTTCTCTTTATTACTATTATCATCGTAATTCAGGCAAACACGCGTCTCTCGATCTCGGAAAACACACCGCTCCTGAAATCACGGGCTGGATCTATTCGTTCAGCAAATGCTGTACACATGACCATTTGAATCCACTTTTCTCTTTTCGTATACATACTCACATACCTACCTTTCAAATTAATCAGTAGAGCATTTCGTCCTGTTCTCACAATATAACGAGGTGATTCATTCTCAGAACTAGGGTTACTCTTATGGGTCAACGGAAGCAGTAGAAGAATTAATTGTGACATTATCTTTTACACTTGACAAAGGAACTCACGTAATAATAATAGCAAGTAATAATTGGATTGACAGTACTAATAAATTCTTCTCTATCACTATTACAATAGGTGAAATTGAATATAATGAGGTAGTGGCTTGAGGCGCTGTTTGCATTTGCAGTTTTGCAAGATCACCGCAAACCTACCAAGGTTTGCTAGTCATCCTCAAAGTCACCTAGTGAATGAGGGATGTGCATCAAAAATAAGCACACGCACACGCACGCACGGATCACGTGCAAGTCAAATGCTTCCACTATTCTGAATGGAAGTCGGAAGCGTGGCTCAGCCGAAAGACATTGATTGGCTCTGTGATATTTCCGTTCACCATAGGCCTACGCGCTCGAACTCAAAGGTCATGTTCGCGATGACAGCGAGCAAACCGGAAAAAAATTGAAATTGATTCTGGAAAAATTAAAATCAATGGTGTCTTATCGTGATGAACTATCGTAAGTTATATCGTAAGTTACATGTAGATTATAGAAAAACAGGAACTTGAACCTTTATTAGATCACAGTAATCATAACATTGGAGCAAGCACATGTGAGAGACATAGTGAAAATGATAAAACGCGAACCAGATGTGTACAAGCAATAAACAATAAGAAGCTACAATAAAATAACCCGATAGCTGTTCAGTTCATTAAAACGATCCAATTCCAAATGATACTTGGGAATTTCACTTCATTAAAACGATCTGACTGTAAATGGTCCTGGGATTTTCAAATCATTAAAACGATTCGATTGCAAATGGTACTTGAGGTTTCATGAGCAAAACCATGTTTGAAGACAAGATTCCAAACGTGTATTGTACACTAGCCGCTGTCGACTGGCGCTGAAGAAAAATTATTCAAAGAAAAGTCGAGCTAATTTGCAACTCAATTCGACAAGTTACCAATTTACCCGTCCTTATGTATTTCATAATAACACATTAATTCTATGCGCGCATAATCAATACTATCGATACTTTTTTCCACTCGGGTGCAACCACTGCATTGGTGAAGTGTAAACAGCCTCTACCTTCATTCTGCATACTGTTAATTTTCTTTTATTTTCCCCTTTTGATAAACCTGTTCATTCTGAAACACTGTACGATAACCCTTTGACGACCGTGTGGCCCGCCGGTGGGCCACACTTTCGCTCGGTGGCGACTCGTTTTTCGTGGTTTATTTGGCATTTTTTCATGTTTCAAAACTACCCAATACATTATCGAATCGCAAATAATGCGCTAATTAAAATAGTGAAATTGTTGGAGAGTTAACGATTATTGATGAAAAAATTTGAAAAGAAAGGAAATGACGCACACATAACGGCGGTCGTCAAAGGGTTAATATAGTGTTGGTCCAGCACCA